CCCCTCCAGAATAAAGTAGAACATCCCAATCAAATGAAGGGATTTGTGGAAACTGTGGTTCCTAATTATTGTGATCCAACATTTGCCTCGCATTTCAGGATGAAAAGACAAACATTTCAGGAGAAGGATCCTCCACTTCTTGCCTCCGAGACTGTGTTATGATCTATATGACCTTATTATTTTTATTGTGAGTATTAGGCTTATCATTATTGCTGATCACTGTTGTTGTGCTATGATATTGTAATATTTACCATTATATAATCAGGGTGGTATAGAAAAGTTTATGAAACCCCCACCAAACAAGAGAAAACGCATCTCAAAGCCCGTTGCACACCATTGCACACCGTTTCCAGGAAACATGTCGTTCAAACCGGAAACCGTAGCCAAACGGTGCACACCGGTTTGAGCTTGAACTTGCCCCTGGTCGTTCGTTGACGGAGCCTCTACAAGTGTCCAAAGTTTGCTGACAAAAGCCGGGAAGCAATGGTTGTGTTTCATCTCTCCTGTTTAAAAACAGAGGTGAAGAAACCCTTTATGCCTTTCGTGAAGATAAAAGCTCGTCATACTGCTCTAGATTAGCTGGCTGTGAGGAGGTAAATAAAATCCCAGGTTGACCTACACGTGAATTTTCCTGCTGCGACACCCCCCCTTGTCCCTCTATCCACCAATCCTGAGCACGGCTCCCTGTAGTATACACTTGTGTGTTGCGCGCGGCGCAAGTACTTGTGTTTTTCTTCTGTCTTCACCTGTTTTTATACAGTCTATGGTCTTCACTCACTTTAAATAACTTCTGACATCTAAAGATAGACTCCGATAGTTTTTCGTGCCAGTAATATTGGAAGAAGCAAAAATATATAAATTTGTATTGTGTTGACTTTATGGATCATTTGATTGAGACGATACTGACTTTCTGTTTTGATGAGATTAAAAAACAGCAAAATTTTGTGCGCGTCTAGTCGTTTTGGTTTTGCAGATGTTATTACATGCAATGATTTATAAGTGGCGATTAATCTTTAACCAGTAGCCAGTGAGTAACTTGATCTGTACATCTTTTATGTAATATTTATCATGTATGTATTTGATATCATTGAATGCGTATCCGTCTGTGAATAAATAATGAAAACTAACTATCGTGTTAAATTAATTAGGTTAAATTACTTTGTAGTAAACTAGAAAGGAGTGAAGAATAAGTTCACATTATTTTAGACAGCGTTTGAAGGGGCTTTTATTTTGAATACGCCACTTCCGGTGGAAATAGCATCACTACTGTTGTTGGCAGTTGCCGTATCCGCGTTCCTGTTAGTTTACTGAATCAAGAGTAAGTATAATTTGGATAATTAGATAGTGGAAATTATTTTCGTTTTGTTTTAATTCTGCCTATTGCATGTATTATTAATTTCACGACGTTACCTCCTTAAATTCATATATTATGCAGCCTGCTCTCACAGCATGCTAGAATATTCTTGGAGCGCGGTGTTGTGGGTGTCATGGCAACAAACGCAAACACAGTGAGGCGATAGTCGCGTTTCCTCAACACTTATATGTTGTTGTTGTCCAGTGGTTATATATCTACCTTATCTTCAAATCTCAGATTTATTACATTCCTGCACAGGACAAATTCAGAAAGTGGGAGATGGTTCAGCTGCACGTCAAACGAGGAGATGAGAGTCAGATTCTCTTCAGTACTACAGTGGATGTCTCGATAGAGACACTGACCCAGCAGGTCTGCGCCATCTATAATGGGAGATTAAAAGTGGACAGGATCTGCTCTGGTATGACAATAATGTTATGTACGCTTATGATGTAAAATAGTAAAAATGCATCACATTCTTTGGGTTCAGCTAGTTTATGTTATTGACAGACGAATTAATTCCCTATAATGCATGTATTGTGTAAGTGTCAGATACATTAACTAAAGTCCATTTCTAAAACACGTGTGAAACGTTTGATTGCGTATTATAGCATTAAAACATGGAATCATTTTTATGTCTCCATAGAAATTCCAGAGCTGGCAGATCATGGCATCTCTCTTTCACTGAATATGCAAGGCCTGACCGATGATCAGATCATGGAGCTCAAACTAAAGGATGAATGGGAAGACCGCTGTATTCCCAGCAGTGGTGCTGAGTTTAAGAAGGATGAGCTCGGACGTCGAAATGGACATGGTAGCCCGGTCACATTTAAAGTTTACATTTGAAGTGCCCAATTAATTGGTTTAACTAAACTCTTACTTTCCATTTAGCTCCAAACGAGAAGATGAAAGAAGTTTTAAGGAAAACAGTGGAGGAAGCCAAAGCTTTAATCTCAAATGTATGAAGCTAATTCTAATATAGAATACTTCTAA